CCACCCATATGTTTGCTGTTAGGATTAAATGGGTTCATATATGAAAAGGACTTAATTTGCTGTTGCAGGAGTAGTGGTTCATCATACACTGCTGCCACCGTCACGGTCACCACCATCATCGTCATCCCACCATCTTATAAAATGTGGCCCACTCAAACACTCGTTCAGGACCTAACAGAGGTAAAACAACTAGCAGAATCTCTCAGTGAGATGCTGTCCAAGGTTAGCCATGATTTGGCTCTTGGATTTCTGGGTGAAGGAACCTACTATGGTCTGAATGGTTGTGTCCCCCGCAAAGTTCATATTTAGAACTGATAGCTGTTAAGGTTACAGAATGAGGAGATAGGGCTTTGGGGGAGGTGACTAGGTCACCAGGGCAGCACCCTTGCACTTGAAGTTAGTACCTTCATAAAAGAGGCACCAGAGAGACCCTGGCTCCTTCCACTACACACAGATGCAGTGAGACCTTATCATCTATGAACCAGAAAGTGGTTCCTCACCAGACACAGAACCTGTTGTTGCCTTGATCTTGGTCTTCTCAGCCTCTAGAACTATAGAAATGAATTTCTGTTGTAGAGACCACCCAGTCTGTGGTGTATTGTTATAGTAGCCCAAATATACCCAGAACATATGGATTTGTGGCTGCCATTTGGCTCAATTATTCTAGGGCCAAATGAACAGAATGTTTATGTCTTTCCAAAATTCAAATTCTGGAATCCTAATCCTAGTACCCCCTAATGGTACTAGGAGATGGGACCCTTGGAAGGTAATTAGTTCATGAGGGGGAATCCTTATGACAGGGGTTAGTGCCCTTATAAAAGGGACCTCAGAGAAAACTCTCCCTCTTTCTAGCATGTGAGAATACAACCAGAGGGTGAACTTGGTGCACCAGGAAGTGGGCCTTCGCCAGACAGGAGTCTTGGAGACCCTTGATCTTAGACTTCCCAGCTTCCAGAACTGTGAAAAATAAATATTGTTGTTTAAGCCACCCAGTTTATGGTAGTCTGTTATAGTAAGCCCACTGATTAAGACACGGAGAAGGAGAGCAATTCCATATTTTTGTTCCATCCTCCTCTACTCAAAGGATTTGTAAGTCTCTTCAGTCCATTGACATAAAAATCTTTTCGATAGTTGTACCATTTGGCCACATGGTTGAAGAATGATATGTAGTCTTCGATTCTTAAAAAGAACCAAAAAAAAAAAATCTAGTGAAAAATATAAACTAGAAGTGGATCCAAATATGTTTTCTTTTAAATTGTAAGATCAGAATAAAACATAAAAATACTCTCTAAATGGAATTGACAGAAAATTAATATTTCTGTGTGTCAAGATTCTGAATCAGAGATTTGACTCGGGAAAGGATTTTGGCATCCAGGATCCTGGGATCACCTTTGTCCCTCAGGATATTGGCTGGAATGGGGCCATGCATTTGTGCCGACTCACAACATCTGTGTATGTGTGTGTGTGTGTGGGGGGGGGGGTTCGCATGTGCAGGTTTGCCACATGTTGTGTAGTTTTTAATAGGTGGCTCCACTCAAGCATCATCTGGTGTGTTCTTGTGCCCTGGCCAGGCAGCCCTGAGAGTTTCAAGGGTTTTTATAAGGTTTGCCGTCTGTTGAAGTCCAAGAGTTTCTAGCTGATTAAAAACAAATTCTAGAGCCAGTGTCCACAATTGTTTATTTTACAAACGAGGTAACCATGGAAAATGCAGTAAACAGAACAAAAATAGTCCTTGCTGCATTGTGAACATGTGACTCTGGGCACGCCTGGGGGTTTTCCTTGCCTTTCAACCTTTCACCTTCTCGTCTGTAAACAGGACCTCCTGCAGGTGATCCCAGACTGATTTATGTTTGTCTTTTTTTTTTTAATTAAAATTTAATGACCAGCACTATCAAAAGTCACTTCTGATGTGTATCTTAACTTCACCTGGTTTTCTGCTCCTCTCGACCCATTTTCTGCAAAACCAGAAGTTGTCTCACTGCCTCTTGCCTAAGGATCGCCCTCGCCAGTAAAAAACTGTCGGCTTCCCTGTGCCCTTCCTCATGTGCTGTGCTCAGGGGGTTCAGAATTTCATTGTCTTCTGCAGATCAGAAGGAGACACACTTGAAGGCAGCAAGCTTGGCAGGGACTTTTGGGCATTCTCAAATTACAATCATCACAGAAGCTACCTCTGATGCTGATCACTTGCCGAAGGACTGATTAGCTCAGATCTTCTGGATAAAGAACGGACAACTGGTTTCTAATAATCATGTTCATGTCACAGAAATCCACAAATCTATTTGCATCCCATATCCAAAGAGCTGGTGTTTAAAAAACTTGACAATGATTACAAGTGAATGTTGCACAGCTGATCTGGGTTCTTTGTTCCAGTCACATTTAATAAAGGAAATTCATGCTAATAGTAGGGGGCTGACAGTGTGCCAGTCACGGATTGAAGCCCTTTGCCACAACTCTATGCCATAACTCTGTGAGGCAGGCACTAACAATAGATCCCTTGCATGGATGAGAAAGTTGGGCCCACAGATTTTTTTTAAGGAGTTGACTAAAGTTAAAACATTTAAGCAATGACAGAGTCTGCAGCCGAACAGCCTCCACAGAGTCCAAAGCCTAGGAGCAACATTTCGTCTTGGCATCACATGAAAGGCCATAAATTTAGACATTTGACATTGTCTCCATATGAGGTCATGCAGACAATCACAGAAATACACCAGAAAACTGAAAGAAGATTGTCATGGAACTTGGACCCCCTAGTAAGCTATGTGAGATACATGTATGCATATGTATATATAGCAAAAGACACACACACCATAATCTCCTTCAATTGTCTTGTGAAGAATATCGTTAAAATTCATTTTTGTATACATTATAGTCTTTAGTTAGGTACACATAAATATTTAAAACTTATCATAGATTCCATAACCTTGTTTTGATACGTCTTCAGTAATATACAGATTCTTAACAATGAAATTGTCCTGGGCAGTTTAGACTTTGAAGAGGTTTCCTTGCATAGAACCATATATTTAGAAGGGACTATAGAGACTACCTTGTCCAACTTCTTCATTTCCCATGTGAGGAATTGAGGGTCAGAGATGCTGAGTCACCTCCCCAAGGTCACACAGCTAGATGCCCTTCCTTTGACCAACAGACCCATGTGTTCTGTCTGCACCCATAGTTGCTAAAACCTGGCTGTATACGAGGAGACATGTAATGGGAACATCTGGAGGATATGAAGTATTGGTCTTTTTTGTAAGACCAATCACTCCTCCCAATAGAATCTTTTTTTGAGTATATGGGAAAATGCATTTTTATAGAAGTTTTCATGTTTCAAAACTTTGTTGGAACTGAGAATCAATATCAAGCCTTATGGCCACCCTGGGAGAGAAGGTGTACAGGCTTTGCTATTTCTATTTTTCAGAGCAGGAAACAAAAAGTGGAGAACTGTCTCACACCTTTCCCGAGGTAGCCCAGCTAGGTAGCCACAGAGTGGGTCCTGTAATTTAGGACTCCTGGTTTGGCACATCGGGTCAAACCACACTGCTCTCCTCTACTCCATGTGTCTTACAGGAACTACAGCTGAGAACAGCACAAGCCTTTTTGTTCTCCCTATTTACAAACCATTCTCAAACCTGCTGTAATTTCTTTGAAAGAGCCTATTCTTCATGTGACCTGTAACTTGATGGAAAAGATAATTAGGTCTTCTAAATGCCACTCATAAACACTATTTCAGGACAGATATTAAGCATTTCCAATGTCTCTAAGTTATTTACTTTTTGGGGGTGAGATGTAAGATACATTTAAATAAGTCTGCAATAAAAATGTAGTCCTACAAAAGCCTTTTTACAAAAAAAAAAAAACAACAAAACCCAACAACAACAAAACCGGTCTTTTAATTCAATAAATAAATGATGGGCACTTCCAGTTTTTCTACAGGGGCAGCTACTACTACTTGCAGCTAACACACACATACACACACACAGAAAATACACAAACAAACAGCCTTTGATCCTGTCTTGCTGCAGGGCGTTTCATCTTCCAAGAGACCAAAGGAAAAACAACCTCAGAACTTTACCACCAAAACTTCCAAATTTATTGCAACACAACGTAATGGCAAAATACCATTTTTCTGAGCACACAGAGTTTTGAACAACCACCACAGCCAAGAATGCCTGGTTTAATGTTTACAATAAACCCCAAGAAAATCTTGAATTCCACTCTGGGTTTGGGGATGGCAAAGATGCTGTGGGTTGTCTGGAGCAAAGGATCATGTCCAATTATTCAGTCTTATCCTCTCTGTTTAACCTGGGCTTGAGGCGTTTATTTCATGTTTATACTGGTTTGACACAAATCATGCTTAAAAGAGATTTTTGCATCCTGTCTTCCTGTGCAAAGTTGAGCTACAATGGTCGACTGAACAATGCCAGTCCCTTCTTGGGCTTATCAGTAGCAGAAGCCCTCAGCCTAGGAAAACACTTCTAATGTAAACAAAACACAGAAAAGCACATCTAAGCCACATTCCACTGAGATCTGCCTGAAGAGAGAGGTCCAGAGTCACATTAAGTAATTTCTCTTTTAATTTAGCACCCGTGTGCCCATTTCTCACACTGTTTTTCATACACTGTCATATGTGAATTGTTAAATTGTTATCACAGGAAGCAAGAAAAATATAAATTACTTTAAAAATTCTACACAAATGTCATGCTTTTCGACTTATTTTTAACCATAATTAAGTTGGCTTAAAAACATAGTGAAAACTTTGTCCTAATATTGACAATGTTTATAACTGATAAACATATATACATCTATAAATATAAATATTACTAGTTTTTATGAGGATGCTACCACTCTCTCCCATCCCAACTCTCTTGAAACTAAAATTTACACAGACTGATCACTTAGTAAGGTATGTAATCTAGTTTCTTAGTGACAAATACATTTTACCATTTCTATAATAATGAATGGAAAGCAACTATATGCATAGTTTAGCAATTTATCAGACGTACCTTGTTTGAAGAAAGGAATTAGTTTTTGCAAAAATTCTCCACCACACAGAATGACTATCCCTTTTTCTTTAAGCTTTTCTGCATCACAAATTCCATCCAAATTATTCTAAAGAAGAAACAAACGGAGGTCCAAGCACCTTTTCTCTTCTCAGAGGAGCTAAGCAAACATTCCCATCCACCTCTCAGCCCTTTGAAAAGCACATTTTGTAACACACACACACACACACACACACACACACACACACACACACACTGCTCCTCACACTGGTTTTAGTGCTGAATTAGGCGGTCCTCTTTCAAATTTCCACTCCCACTTGCTTTTTTGGCGAAAGGATTTCTAAATATTCTTTTCTAACCCAAAGCACACATTTTCAGTAAGCAAATTCTACAATTAGAGGAGCAGTTGGATAGAAAAAGCTTCTTTTTTTTTTTAAATATGCTTTAAAAAGTACTCAAGCAGGGGCAATTAATTTTTCTTTTTCAAATGCTAGTGAACGGCTGGATTAAGGTGTTTATTCTACTGGATTCTCAGTTTTGCACTGAAAACACTTTTCCTACATATGAGTGCTTTTCCTTTGTTTTGTTTTGCTTTGCGTGACTTGTTTCTGCATTTTGGCAGCTTCCTGAAGTGATTGAGGTCTATGCTGCTAGTAGCAGGATCCATGATAATAGTAGTGGGAAGCAAAACCTGACTCAGTTTCAGTAAAACTGCCCATGGGTATGTCTCTCACAACATTAGTGAAATCTGCCAGCATCAGTTATTGATAAATCAGTGCCATCAATCAAATCAATGAGATTAAGACCCAAAATGTGTGTTAACACATCTCAGCATTTCAAAAAATCAGAACCCCCATCCCCCCAAAAAGTGCATCTGGCCATCCTTGAGATTCCAGGGTCTGTGGGTATGGCAGAACCAGCAGGCAGAGGTAGCACAGAGCCATTCCTCCTCCTGCTGGGGAGTGTGCACGCACGCAGCCTGGGAACAGAAGTTCCATTTGAGTACCCCGTCCTCATCTACTGTCCTTGTCCCTTACTTAAGATTATTGTTTGAGTGCTGTTTAACCTATTTTTTCCCCTTCTGGTTCTGGATTTAAATTATTATTTTTCAATCCTGTTTCTTCCTCCTCCAAATTCTGACATTGACTCCTTTGGTAGGAAGGACAGTGTTGCCACACGGACGTTCAGCTGTCCCACTATTTGCATAAGCGCAGGTTCCGATGGAAATAGCATCTAAGTAATAATAATGTCAATTAATGATAGTATTCGATATTAACTCACATTTAATAAACGTTAAATAATTCATATAGTTAATATTATTATTTATTACATTTACCATCTAATTTAATATTTAGGAGACTCTAGAACAATCAGTACTATTATTTCCATTCTATAAACAAGGGAACTGAGACTCAGAGTATGTAACTTTCCCAACATCACTCAGCCAGTAAAGCAAGACCTAGGATTCAAATCCAAGGCTGTCTGACTCCTAAGCAATGGTGCTATGTTAGAACGTAGAGATTTTTTTTTTTCTTTTGCCAGTTGAATTTGCTTTCTTATGGTGAATAGGAAAAAATCAAATGTAAAGGCATGGAAAAGCATCTGAAGCTAATGCAAATTAAAAAGCAATGGTATTTGGGATGATGAAATACACAAAGTTATGACTGTAATTAATGAGACTGAATGATACACTTAAAATGGCAAAATTTCTTATATATATATATATATTTAACTATAATAAAAATAATTTTTAAAAACGTGATTCCCTTAAAAAAATGAAGTATTGTTTTATTTTCATCATATTGGCAAAAATTAGAAATTTGGACAAAGTCCAGGGCAATCACACAGTGGCCCCAGTGGGCTGCTATCAGTATAGGCAAATGTGGCTATTCTCAAGAAAAATTCAGAAGCACTTGGTTGAATTATGTTAACACCCACAAAAAAAAATCTTTCTGGAGTGTATTCATCAGTGAGCTGCTCACATGGGGCCTCCTCCAGAGAACTCACATGTCAAGTATGGGGGAAGCACAGAATGAAACCACACTGCAGTTAGAAACCAAGGCTTAGAGCTGTGGCAGTGGCCGTGCTGAGGTCTTTGGGACACCTGCATGGATCTCGAACTTGACTTCTTCCAATCTTTGCCCAGACGTCACCTCTTGGGTGAGACCTTTCCTGATGTCCCTGTTTAAAGTGGCACTGCAATCCCAAGAATATCCTCTTCTCTCTTTAATTTTTCTTCATGGTACCCATTACCCTCTAATGATATTTCCTACTGTTTTTTTTTTTTTAATTAAGCATCACTAGAATAAATACAGGCTCAGGAAGGCAGGGGTTTTTATTTGTTTTATTCACAGATACATCTTAGTTCTTGGAACCACACATGACAGGCATATATTCACTACACACACACACACACACACACACACACACACACACACACTCTCTCTCACACACACACATGATCGAAAGTACATTAGAATGGTTGTCTACAAGAAATGGGAGAGGGAGTGGAGACATGGGATCAGTAGGATTGAAAACATTCAAACCAAAGTCCTGGAGTCTCCTGTGAAGCAGAGACGATGGTGTCAGGAATGGAGTGAGCCCTCCACACCTGGCCGTCTGGCAGCAGCAACAACACCCATGGCAAAATCAACCATGCTGCTGGCTTCTTTTAACTTTTTAGAGTAAAACAAGATCGCAACTTCCTGGTGAGAGGCCTTGAGCTTGCTACTTGGCCTAAACTGAAGTAGATCACCTCTAGTTGAGAATAAATATTGTGATTGTGATATTCTCTTTTTCCTGTTATTGCTACGTGAGAGTCTATTTTGCTTATAAATCATCCAGAGTTTCTTGGAAGCATTCATTATTTCCCAAACAACTGTGTGTCACTTCATAAACTTATTGTCCCAGTCTTATATTGTATCTGGTACAAAAATTCAAATCTTTTAGAACATTCGGTATTAAAAAGTTTTTATTATTGTCATAAACATTGAACCTGATGGTTCTTTCAAATACTGCCTCATTTTTTTTTTCCCATTTCAGAGACAGAATGTGAGGAAATCAATGCATTCCTTCTATCACAAATCCATCCTTTTATGTGACTTTTAAAAATGCAGGCTGGCAATTTAAGAGTCTAAGTAATGAGGCAGGCTTTTCAGACAATCCTGATACTTTTATTGTGTGCAGGTATAAAACACAAGAATTACACCTTCATAACACGAGTTCACTGAAATGTCTCAGGCTATATTGTTTGATGCTACATCAATTTTTCATAGAACTATGATTTGCCTTCAAGAGTTTTGAGACTCTTTCCCCCTGTGCTTTGATAAGTAGCTTTCTGCAAATGCTCAGATTTTTTTTCCAGTTTCCTGGACACTGCTGAACATGGCTGGTAAGTACAAATTTTGTGTGGTGTCAATGTGAATGGAAAATCCACCAGTCTAATTAGACTTTGTTAAATTTACATCACTATTATCTATCAGAAGCAAAGAGGTTATTACAAGAAAAACATAGCTTTCCAAAAATTAAAGGAGCTAAATGGGGACCATGGACAACTTATAAATAGGTGGAGGATAGGTGTCCAAAAAAAGCTCTCAAAACTACAAGGAAGATGTTGTTAAGAATACATCAGAGGCACCAGGCACAGTGGTGCATGCCTGGAATCCCACTGACTGAGGAGGCTCAGGCAAGAGGATGGCAAGTTTAGGGCCAGCCTCAGCCATTTAGTGAGACCCTATCTCAGAATGAAAAATAAAAAGGGCTAGGGATGAACTTCAGTGATAAAGCATCCTGGGTTCAATCTCTAGCATGCCAAAAAAAAAAAAAAAAGAAAAAGAGGTACAATTTTGATTAAATAGTAAATAGGAGCCACTCATATTAGGAGCGAAAAGGTAAACTCAGCAGAGGAAAGGAGATGGTGGATTTCTTCCTTATGTTATTTTTTAAAAGTTGAAAAGCTTACTACTCCCAAATGCTTCCCTGCAACCAATGAGCCAGAACCACTGTATCAGGTATTGGACAGCAACCACAACATTCTAGGCCAATCTGACAAAAAATAAATGCAGAGAAGTCACTGTGATTTAAATAGCATAAAAGGGATTAAGACCTAAAGGAGGATATGGAGAACTGGAGGCCATCCTGCAGATTGTAGCATTCCTGAGGGCTGCTGAGCTGGCAGGGTACGCAAAATACAAAAGCACCTTGTACAAAACCAGGGTTCAAAATGGTAGGCAGGAGATTATAGGCCTTATATCTCCCTATTATGCCAAGTAAGCACATGGAGACTAAAATAAAAGATTGGTTCACAGAACACTGATCAGCTGGGCTCTGCTGATCTAAGCTGGGCTGGGCTGGGCAACTCTGCTTCTTGCTGAGGACCTGTGGGTTGGTGGGGGAATCTCTCCTACAAGGGTTTATTCTGGTGTGGGTGCTACTGGGACAGCAACTTTATAAGAGAAGTGCTCATGGCAAAGGCAAAGCAGCAAGAGGACAATGTAAAACACGTGGGGATGCTAAGAACTGGCACACTGTCATTTCTGGCCAAAGGAAATTGTATGACTAAGTCCAAAGTCAAGGAGCAAGAATCTAGACTACTCAGGAAGAGGCTATGGCAACAGTGCGGACGAGAGGGGAACGAAAAACCGAGACCAGTAGTAATCCAGTCTAACACACAGGGCCTTAACAGTCAGCCTTTCCTTTGTCCTTATGTTTATTGTGAATCTTGAAATTACATTCAACTGAATTTTTTTAAAAAAATTCTAATTCATGAATCTCTCCATTTTATTGTTTAATTTATTTATATTTATCTGGTAGAATAACCACCTTTTCTATGTTCCCTCCTCCCTCTCTGTTATTTTCAGAATTTACATATTATGCTTCTCAACTTTTAGTGTTGTCCTTTCGTGGGCAGCTATAAAAATTTTAAGTTATTTTTTATCTGTACTCTCCTCTTAACCTGATGAGACTCCTAGGCCTCTTTAACTCTGACCTCATGTCCCATAGTTTTTGCTAATAATTTTTAATATTACCCTTTTGCAATACAAACTAAAGTGTTATAGTTCTTTTTCAAAAAGATTCTTAGATTTAATATACGAGCATATTTTGTCAGGTCCAGGTTTGTCATTGTGTCTTTTTTTTTCCTGTACCTTCTTTCTGAATTTACATTTCTTCTTGTTGATAAAAAAAAACATTCAAAAAAATAAGAATTGATAGATATTTACCTAAGTAAATACTTCTCAAAAGAAGAAAGGCAAATGGCCAACAAATATATGA